GGAGCCAAAAGCAAAAGTGAGTGGAACCATGCATGCAAAAACTTACCTTTGTATGGTAGCCTAGTTTCTACACGTGCATATACATACCTGTATCCTACATCCAGGGAAACAAGAGATATCAAAATTCAATGGTGCATTCTAGCCAAGCCAAAACGCTCGGGTAGGGTGCTCTGACAGGGGGAGCGCCCCTGAGCACAGATGGAAAAGTATTTCCCAGCTTGGCAACCTCAGTCACTGTAAGTGGCAATGGGGTACATGGGGTAAGGTCCGGATGAAGCAACATACCTGCAGTGAGACTGAGCCTCAAAGTAATTTAAAAGTTGAAAAAGCAAATATACAACCAATAACTGAACAAAGTCTCCTGGCTTTCAGTTGCTCCAGCCTATTAATCCTTTTCTGCATACCTAGGGACATTTCCATTTGCAAAACAGCTGGTCTTGTTAGGATGCCACTGCAAAGGGAAAATCATGTACTTCAGGTATTATGTACCAAAACCCATACAATATCAAATGGTGTGCAGGTAACAAAGCAGTATCAGTTGCACATGCAGACACAGATACAGTACAATGGTGGTAGGAATAACAAGCTGTCTTTCTGGATTTTGCACCTGCATTGTAATGCTATTCTGCATCAGAATACTACACATGGCATTTATCTTGACTAGCACCCATTTTCAGATACGTCTGGATTGAGTCCTCCCACTCGCTGGATCATTACCGTGTTGTGGTGAGTGGGCTTGCATGCTCCTATGACCCTTGTGAGTGAAGCCATCGGGAATGTCGTACTCCCAGCAGGGTCACTCAAGGCGGAAAGGTCAAAGGGAAGGAGCTAGACAAAAAATGATCCAAGAAGTCCTCAATGGCAGAACAGGCGGGTGATAACAAACGGTATGTTACAACGGCTGTGAAGGCAGATGAAGGCTGCAGCAGATAGGAATCTACCAGTTTATTGTGACTACTTCATGCTATCGGAACAGAGCCCTACTGTGAAGACTGTGCGTTGGTCAGTGTGCACTGATCTACACACATAAAACAAATTCACAAACAGGCATCTTCCAAAAATCCAACCCAAACCCCAAAAGTCTGGAAGCCCCTAGTCATGAACCGGCACATGGGAGGTGGATACAGATTCAGTCGTTCTGACTCAAGGAATGAGGCAATTGAGCAGCTCAGCAGCTGTATCCATGACTGAGCAGCCCTTTTTAGGATCCACTCTGCTCACCCCGAAAAGGGAAAGGGGCTAGAAAAGGTGCTCTAAACATAGTCTGCCTCCCTTTTTCCCTCTGGATTACCGCGCCCAGTGGGGTCACCACCTAGCGGTCGTAAAAGACAATTGAACTTTGGAACATGGGATATATGGACTTTGTCAGATAACAGGCAGTGAGTGTCCTGAACGCAGAACTGCCATCACTGCAAGAAAGCTGCGACATTTTAACATTGATATTGCAGTGCTTCAAGAGACTTGAAGAGCAGGTGAGGGACAACTTAAGGAAGAAAAAGGAGGCTACACTTTCCTCTGGAAAGGTATATCTGAACAAGAACATCAAATACATTGGGTAGGCTTCGCTATCAAAAACGATCTTGCGAAGCTCCTGTCAGAAGTCCTTACTGGCATTAATGAGTGACTCTCAACCCTTCGAATAAAGCCCACCAAAAACCAACAGGCTACTAATATAAGCGCTTATGCACCAACACTGGATGTCGATGAAGACATTAAAGAAAAATTTTACTCTCAGCTGGATACCGTCCTATCAGAGATGCATAAGGAAGATAAAATTATCCTCCTGGGTGATTTTAATGCAAGAGTTGGGTGAGATTTTGATCTGTGGCCTGGGACTATTGGGAAAGAAGGAATTGGCAACAGCAACCAGAACAGAATCTTACTTTTGACAATACGTGCAGTGCACAACCTTGTTATTATCAACACACTCTTTTGATAGAAAAATAAATTTAAAACTTCATGGAGGCATCCTCAGTCAAACCACTGGCACCTCTTAGACTATGTTATTGCCGTGCTAAAGATCGTCATGATGTGCTTCTTACCAGAGCTATGACGAGCATCGACGACTGCTGGACAGATCACCAACTAATAAGCTCCATAATGGCTATCAAGATTATACCTCAACACAGGCTTCAAGGAGGGAAACCAAGGCACAAAATGAACACTCAAGCCCTTCAAGATCCCATTAAGCGGGATTGCTTCCAAATGACTCTTAAGGACCATCTGCTTTCAGTATTCCCTGATAACATCGAGGAACACTGGACCAAGCTAAAAAATCCATTATTGCAGCCTGTGAACAAACTATTGGATACCAAACCAAGGAACACCAGGACTGGTTTGGTGAGATTGAAAGCATGATTGACAAGAAAGGGAAGGCCTTTCAGATCTGGCAAAGAGATAGAAACTGTGCCACTAAGGGAAAAAAACCTATGCCAATGCTAAGGCTGAGGTTCAAAGAAGAACCAGAGAACTAAAAAAAAAACCTGGTGCATAAAAAAAGCTCAAGAGATCTGACACATAGCCGACACTCATGATGCACAGTTTCTTTAAAGCCACAAAGAGCATCTATGGGCCAATAAATCATGGTGTATGCCCCCTATGCTCAACAGATGGTACCACACTTCTAAAAGATAAAGAAACTATTGCACTGAGCTGAAAAGGACATTACCAACATCTCTTTAACCGCAACTCCCCCGTAGCTGCTGAGGTCCTCTCACAAATTCCATAAAAACAAGTTAGAGATGAGCTTGCAGTATCTCCAAATCAGGGAGAGTTGTGTACAGCTATTAACCAAATGAAAAACAACAAAGCCAGTGGACCTGATGGCATACCTGCCGAAATCTTCAAAGTGGGCGGAATTGAATTTACACAACAACTTCACAAGCTCATCGAAAAAATCTGGGAAAGAGAAGAAATCCCAGCAGACTTTAGGAATGCCAAAATTATCAATCTCTTTAAAAAAAGGTGATAGAACCGATTGTGGAAACTATTGAGGCATCTGTCTATTAACTGCGGCCGGCAAAATTCTTGCAAGGATCTTAGCAAACCGTCTATTAACAATATCCAAGGTGACCCTTCCTGAATCCCTAAATGGTTTTCGGCCTTCTAGGGGGACAGTGGACATGATTTTCACCGCTCGACAGCTTCAAGAAAAATGCAGAGAGCAAAACCAACCCCTGTATATGGCATTTATTGACATGACTAAGGCTTTTGATACTGTAAATTGTAATGCCCTGTGGACTGTCCTTCTGAAAATTGGCTGCCCAGATAAATTTGTAAACATCATTTGACTCCTCCATGATAATATGACAGCAACAATTGCAGATAACAATGGCTCTCAAAGTGAACCATTCACAGTGGGATCAAGGGTTAAATAGGGTTGTGTTATTGCCCCAACTCTATTCATTATTTTCATGGCCATGATCCTATGCTTTGTCAAAGGGAAATCATATATCGAACAGATGGAAAGCTCTTCAATCTGATCAGGCTGGAAACAAAGAGTAAGGTTACCGTAACTTCTGTCACTGAGCTTCAGTATGCTGATGACAACATAGTGCATGCAGGCTCAGAGGATGACCTCCAAACCATCCTAAATATCTTTTCAGAAGCTTACGAAAAGCTTGGCCTATCACTCAACATCCAAAAAAGTGCTGCACCAACAAGTACAAAATAACACCTCTGCAGTGCCACAAATCCAACTCAATGATGTAACGTTGGAAAACGTTGATCACTTCTCCTACCTAGGCAGTTATCTTTCCACAAGGGCCAACACTGATGCCGAAATCCAGCATTGCCTGAGCTCTGCGAGTGTGGCTGTCTCCTGATTGAAGTGCAGAGTGTTTGAGGTCCTGTATACCTGAAAGAGCGTCTCCACCCCCATCGTTCAGCCTGGACACTGAGATCCAGCGCCGAGGGCCTTCTGGCAGTTCCCTCATTGCGAGAAGTGAGGCTACAGGCAACCAGACAGAGGGCCTTCTTGGTAGTGGCACCCACCCTGTGGAACGCCCTCCCATCAGATGTCAAAGAGATAAACAACTATCTGACATTCAGAAGACATCTTCAGGGAAGTTTTTAATATGTAACGCTGTACTGTTTTTAACACTTGATTGGCAGCCACTCAGAGTGGCTGGGGAAACTCAGCCAGATGGGCGGGGTATAAATAATAAATTATTATTATTATTATTATTATTATTATTATTATTATTAGGACTGGAACATTTGCAGGGAAACCAAAATGCTTGTTTACAAAGCTATTGTACTACCAACCTTATTATATGCTTATGAAACATGGACCACTTCTAAACGCCATCTCCAGCTCCTCGAAAGACTCCATCAACGGTGTCTCCGAAAATTTTTACACATCACTTGGGAAGACAGGCGAACTAATCAGTGTACGGGAAGATGCAAAGATCACCAGTGTTGAAGCAATGATTCTTCTCTCTCTCTCTCTCTCTCTCTCTCTCTCACTCTCTCACTCACACACACACACACACACACACACACACTTTCATATTGACTACAATGATGTCCCCCTTTATATATTTCCCAAAACATTTTTTAATATACTTGTCCTGTGTCCAGGAAATTTATGGGCAGGAAATGCCAAAGCTCAGAAACTGAATTCTGAAGCCAAGTGCATAAGACAAATACCATTTTTGACATTTTATGAAACACCTCAAATCAAGAAAAAGAAAATAAGCTAATGCTGAACTGTTTGATGTTTGGTGAAATGAGATATTTACTAAGATGGCAATGCTTTTTTCATGGTCTAATTAAATGAGCACAGATTTTGTGAAGGAAGTTATTTTCTGGCAATTTACGGTAGAGTAGACAAATTAGTCAAGCTGAAATTAAAAGTCTTGTCTGGGGGGCAATTTCAATGTAACATATTCCTCCATGGGAATAATTTGGGATGGATTCCCATGAAGAATAACCTTATATTAGATAGGAAAATCCTTATGTATTCGTTTTTTCTTTTTACTGGAAGGGGTGGAGAGAAAAGAATACGATACTAAATTCTTGTAAGTTTCTTTTCTTTTCTTTCCTTTTTTGCAGACTCTTCAAAGATTTTCAGTTATGGTACAACTTTCCCCCTTCTTGTACCTCTACAAAAGGGATCCCCACTCTCTCTCACTCTCTCTTTGTCACACACACACACACACACACACACACACACCATATTGGAATTGGCTGTAAGTCAAAGAACAAGCTGCCCCAGAGAATATATTACTGCTAGAGTCCTGCTATTGATCCACAGGTAACACTAGCAAAATGAACAGCTGCCAGAAAAAGCCAGAATTATAACTACTCTCTTAAGAATAGTTCCCAAAACTTGGCAGTAGATTATTTGACTAGCTACAATGAGTACGGCAACAATGATAGCTCAAATAAGGAAAGAGGGGACACCGAAACATAAAATGAATTGAATTTAGGCCATTTATTCCAGCACCACCCCTGCTCAGAAGAAAATCCAGTCAAGGAGAGTCCATCAATCCTCTGGGTTCCTGGGCTCAGTTCAAAGTGCTGGTTTTGATGGATAAAACTTAATAGGGCTGGGGTCTTTGCATTTCCTCATGTCTGAACCCTACAATAGTTATTGGAGGTCCTTATCCATGTGCCTCCTATGAGGCAAGCTTGAAGGATGGCAACAAGAGAACCGGACTTTTCAATTGTTGTATCCCCTCACCCCAGACCGGTTCACCATCAGCCTGCTCCAACATTGTCAGCTTTTAGACTTCTGGTGAGGACATTCTTAATTCTCCCAGATATATTGGGCCTCGATATGATTTGATTTTCTGCACTTTGTCCTTGTCATTCTTTTGGTTGTGAGGGGAAGGGTATTTCCCTTGTTAGCCGATCACTGCAGATAAACACTTTTGGCATTAATTGTGGTTTTATTGGTTTTAGCAACTCCCAGAATTGTGTTCTTCTTTGACAGTGTAGTGGTTAGGGTGTTGGTCTAGGACCGTGAGACCAAGGTTCAACTGGCCATTTAAGTGTGTGACACTTGAATTGGGCCAGTTAAAATTGCTCAGTCTAACCTGCTTCACAGGGTTAGTGTAAAAATGAAATGCGGAGGGAAGAGAACCATGCACTCTGGCTTGAGCCTCTTGGTGGAAAGGTGAGTTAGAAATCAAATAAAACAAGCAAACAAGGGAGCATAGGTCATGCTGTATGCTCTTTCCGTGCAAACTGTGTTTATACAGAATTTTAGGTGTCAGAAGGATTTTCTGAAACAAATTTCCTTTCAATTCTCCACACCCCCGCCCCCCCCCCTCATGGAAAGAAAGAAAATCCATTCAAAGAATGAAAGAATGAAAGAAATTCCATTCAAAGAAAGAAAATCAAGTGCAAAAAACTGTAGTGAGAAAAAAGCTTGTATAGAAACTAAAATATAAATATATTTTGCCATCATCATTACATTAACAGTGTTGAACTGTGGGCATGAACATGGCCTTGGATTGCAACCTACGATGAAGGCTTATGAAATTAACTTCAATGTGAAAAGCAAGCAAGAAGCCGTTTATAATCTCTTGTTCAAAGCTATATGTTGTTGTTTTAAAAACTGCTTATATTACAGGGTTATCGTAACCTTTTTCCTTATTCAGTTATGCTAGAAATAGGACATAATTTATGAAACACAAAATAATCATTTTTCAGCCTAGGATACAATTATTTACAGCACAATTCCATACAGGTTTACTGAAAAGTAATGGAGGCTGCTCTGTTGGGGCAGATGGGTCACTGTCGGATCAGCCTCAGCCTGCCTTCATCCAGGTCCCACCTGGATAAAGTGCACCCCAGTAAGTTCAATGATACTGTCATTTGACTGAAGCCCTACTTACTTGATATATACTGTTTTTCTCCCCAGCTGATTTTTGTGTGCTTATTCCCCCCCCCCCGTATATGCATGCATGGATACTTGTGTGCAAGTGTACTGACATGCTCCTCCAGTGTATATCTGTGTGGTTTGAAAAGGCCTGTAACATTATGATGCAGCTGTTGTCTTTGCCAAAACAGACAAGCTGAGTTCAAGCAGTGTCTAGACAGGCCCGGGAACTCCATGTTTACTACTTTGAGTTCTGTTATGGAAAAAAGGAAGCATTTGAATTTGGTAAATAATAAAATGACTATAAAATAATGTCTGTGGGACATTTATCCTTTCTATGTGATACTTTTGGTTGTATGACTTTTAACTTCAAAACCTTATCTGATTACCAAATCACATTGGTGAGAATGAATGATTTATTGTACATTACTTTGTTTTCGGCCTTTCATCGCATGACAGGTCACAATGCAAACTGATTAAAATTCTTTTGTTCTAGTAAGCAGTATATAAACAAAACAAAATAAAAACTGGCCCTAAATAGACTAGGATTGAATGTTGCATCACTTTACTTTGATATGCTGAAAATGTTCAGAACCCAAACTTAACTGTATCAGTGCTTGAATAAAAGGGGGAAAACACAAAAACTGCCTTAACACCAGTAAAGTGAACTATTATTCCTTTAAATAAAGAATTAAGTAAACAATGTCAATAAGAAATGCAACCGTATTCCACAATGGCAGATGGGGAAATGTACTCCCAGGACTGACACATACTCTGCAGCCTTTTTCAGAATTCCTGATCAATCTGGTCTAATATCCCCTTTTATTGACATCATGCCACTGAGTAACTCAATCATTTCATTAATGGCTATATGTCTCCAGTCAAATGTTCTTTTCTCCGATTCAGCCTACTCTCCGGAGCCTTTTATTTTGGAATTAATTTTGCCAAATGGATGCTTATCTCCCTTAGCCGTGCTTTTAAAAGTGTGTATTAATGAACTTGCTGTTTGCCCTGCTTATATGGCTACCCAGCTACAGTCTCTCAAGCAATTTGTGCAAAAACTAGATACTCTTCATAATGTGTGTTTAATTTACCTTGACAATGTGTATGTTCTCAGAGAGAAACATAGAGCAGAGCTATGAAAATGTGGCAGTTCGCCATCTATAGAGCTTTTGAAAATACTCATCCCTTAGCTTCTGAAAACACTCATCCCTTAGCTTCTGTCTGTGTTCAAGGTTATAAGAAGAGACAGAAAGGGGAAAGCACACTTTTACCAATTACTCTATTAATCCAACCATCCACCCATTTTTCATGTGCCACAAACACATAGATAGGCAGATGAGGGGCACACAAACCTACAGGGCTCTAGCTAGGCCATACCTTCTTTTGGCTCATCTGTTCTACTTTGCACTCTATTAAAATGATTTTGCTGACTGGAATAGGTTCTTGATCTATGATAATGCCTGTTGCTTGCCTAGATAGAAAATTACTTGGGTAAGGGGTTGTCAGAGAATTCAATTAGAAAGAGGAATGAGAGTGGCAGAAATGAGAGTGGAAACTCCTGCAATCTGCATGCTTGTCAGAGGTCAGGAATGGAAATTACGTAAGCAAATATAAGCAGCATTTGCAGTCCATGGCATCCTTCTGCTCCTCCCCAAGATCCTACAACTCTTGCCTCATCACCCCAAAATGCTCCTCCCATGGGCGATACCATCTGAATCTTATTAGGAGGGGAGTGGGGTGTGGCAAATTCACCCCCACACTAAAACAGCATTGTTTTGCAAAATCCAAAAATTCCTTTTATTTTTCAAACCCAGGCTCCAGCTTCAGCAACATCGGATCTAACCCACCTTTTCTATGTCAATGGTTAGTTTACATTAAATACAAATACAAGTTGTAATTACTGGTATCTCTTCAACTAAGGATGAATATTTATTCTTACCACAGTGTGCCCAAACAAATCATTTAGTAGAATAAAAGTGTTACAAATTACCTTAATTTCATGGATAAAATTGTGACATATATTAGCAGCTTTAACTTTAAAGCCATTATTCTATCAGTAATAAACCTTCTATTACTATTATTAGTATTTACTATCCATGAGGTAAATCAGAGGGGTCTCTCACACTAGGAACAAGCCCTGAGAATTCTCACCACATAGTCTTGGTTTTTATCTATCTGATGATTTGCATAAATATTGCAATCCTGTCAAGACAAATCCAGAATATAAGAATAAATTACATTTCAAAGTAGAGAGTTCCAACTTGTTTGGCAGACTTCATGCTGCTTTTTATTGTGAATGTTGTGAAAACATTCACTAGATTGACTTAATTCAGTATGGATATTCCAAATAAATAATACTCGGATCCAGAAAGAAGGAACTGCATATGTGAAGTTGCAGTCCAGGCTGGGAGAATAATAATAATAATTTATTATTTATACCCCCAACCATCTGGCTGGGCCTCCTCAGCCACTCTGGGTGGCTCCCAACCAAATATTAAAACACAAGGGCCATTTGCCTGTCCTGGATGAGATAACTTTTTCTCTGAAAGAAGCGATACAAAGGTTTGGGGTGCTCCCGGATCCATCTTTGTCACCTGAGGTTCAGGTTCATACATAATTGTATTTGTATGCCACCTTTCCACAGTTCAAACCATGCTCAAGGTGGATTGCAACTTGAAAGGGGGAAAAAAGCATAGTTACAACATAACAAAAGTAATCATAAATAATAAATAATACATTAAAAAATACACAACCAAACTGAAAAATTGCCACATAATTCACAACAAAATCTATAATAAAGATACAAAAAACCAACAGCAAGTGTCTTAACATGCACTTGGCCTTTTCAAATAAGTGCTTTTGTTCATTGGGATCATTTGGCAGTTGGGTGGGGGAGGGGAGATTTTATCGGGATTCTCGTTTTTCACTAAAAGCTTTCTTGTCACCAGAAGGTGAAATTCAGCACTCATTAGAGCAACTGATTCAGATAAGTTGATTAATATGTGGTTTCTATTGTACAAGGCAGTTAATGAAGTAGAACAGATTCCTGTTGGGGGGGGAAAGGCTTGATGATGATGTTCCTACATAAAGATTTTCTGAATTATCTTAGGAGAAAGTATTGACCAAGTTAAGCGCACCGTATTGTTTAAGAACTGCAACCTGGAAAGGGAGTGGGACCCACTATCCCAATTATATAGTGAGGTAATTCTTTGATTCAAATGACATGCTATTTCAGTGTATCTTTGAGCTGCATAATTGGAATTTCCTGCATCTATTATTATTTTTATTATTAGCATTAGCATTATTAGTATTGTTGTGATTGGGGACGGGGGTTAGGCTGTATGCCTGAGACCTTTCTAATTCCTAGATCTGGAAAGGGTTAAAATCCAGTGGAGGATTCAATTGTTGTCAGCTTCTTGATAATGGCCTCAGCTTGTGTGTCCTTAGGCAAGAAAGGAAGCGGCCCTGCACCAGAGGGCAAAAGGGTGGGGGCCCCTCTCCCTCAATGGGCTGTAAGTTAGAAAGACCCCAGCCCAAGCTGAGGTATGTGAGAGATAGAAGCTAGAAGGAGGCAGCATGATGAAGTGTGTGAGTCAGAGTCCTGCAAGACCTCCTTGGGATGTGAGAGCCCTTCCATCACAGGCTCAGGTTGTATATTTGTGTAAAGAAACATTATATCCTAAAGACTCCACAGGTTCCTCTTTTCCTCATTCGAAAACTTGGGTGCCTGGAAACCCTGGAACCTCACACTACTCAAAGATTGTAGTAATGTAGAATGACACCCTGCCAGATGGGCAGGATATAAATAAATAAATTATTATTCAAAATATATAAAAAAATTGTCCAGTAGCACCTTAGACCAACTAAGTTTGTTCTTTGTTCTTGGTATAAGCTTTCATGTGCATACACACTTCTTCAGATACAACACTTCTTCAGATATTATTATTATTATTATTATTATTATTATTATTCTTGGTTTATTTATCCCTGAAATTGCTAATAGCAGAAATGATTAGCAGATTCATAGACAAATTGCTGATAAACACTTGCTGATAAACACTGCAGCAATTTTAAATTCTGGACTTCATAGTCTTTTCCCCTTCATGGTTGGTATACGTAGCAATTTTTCAAGGACCCAATCTTTTTATGGCAATGCAGGCTGCTTCTGACTTCAAATGGCCTTACGAGAGTCCCCTCTTTAGATGGGATTTCACTTACTTGAAAATGTGATATAGTCCAGGCCTGCTGTGTTACAGGAGGAAGTTATTGGCACTTACACTGACCGTATGTATGAATTAGTATATCCACCCCAAAACTTTTGCAGGCATAAACAGTACTGAAAGTGAGATCACATATATTCACCCCATGACTGCACAATAGAAACGATGTCTAGACAGGTCCTATGTTCTAATTAAATTGATCCAAATGACCAAATACATTTGTGAAAATCATATATCAGTGACTTCTTATCAATGTATGGATAGCTTGTCTGTTAGTGAAATATTCTGATGATGAAGTGAAATCGGTCCACAATTCCTATATTTACCTGGCACACTAAGTACAGCATATTTTGGAACAATTTGGGGGAGAATTTAGGATGCTGCTGTTGTTGTTGTTAAGCTGTTTTTTCTTTCAACAATAAAGGGACACCAAACATTTTAGAGCTGTAACCTACATTCTAAAGCTCAGCATCATAGTGGAGAGAACAGATGAGTCCTTGCGCTATAAATATTGTCCCCATTTCCTGTTATTTTCAAAATGACAAACCAATAATCAAGGCTATTTTATGGAGCATAGCAAGGGCTGGGTGGACCAATCAATCAAGGATAATGGAGTGTTAAGCAACACTCACCTCTCCTCACAGCAGATCTTGCCTCCTTGCTTTTGTAATGCAGACATTCTTCTTCAGCCTATGCAACTTTTGTGGCAGTCATATTTTTACAGCTCTGCTTGGATCTGAAATCAAAACCAGCCAGTGACCATTGGAATACTAAATAAAAACTGGGCGGGCATAGAGGTTGCTGAGCTTTTGAGAGATAATTTATTTTAATGTTGATTTCTTTGTTACATTATATATACACAGCCTCCCCATACCTTATGAAAATCAGTTTTAAAAATTTGACAGCTACCTAAATACATGAGATTTTGCAGGAGGAGGATATATAGCAGGGATGGAAACTTGTGTGTCTCTAGCTGTCATTGCACTCCAACTCCCATCAGCCCTAGCCAGCAGTCAAGGATGATGGAAGTTGTAGTCTGCCAACATTAGTTCATTACGCTGTGGTCGTGAGACACAAGGAGGACTGCATAGTCATGCAATCAGAAGATGATAATATCAGTCTTATCCCTCTTTCAATGAATAATTTGGTATTGCTGAAGGTTCTTGTTATTCTTAAGGTGAGACAGAGATGCACCGATAGATCTGGAGAGTCAGAGCAAAGGCGCAGATTCTGCCTGGAGCTTTTCGAGGATATTGTTCACCAGCTATTTAACAAGAAATAGTGAGGAACTGAGGACTTATCATTTCGGGAACATAATCATAGGTCAGTACAGAGGCTACCATCATTAGGACAGGGTTGTCCATTAAATGAAGTTAGCAATAAATTTGATTTCATTTATTTATTTCATAAAATTCATACGCTGCTTGATGGAGAAAAAACCCCTCAAAAGCAGTTTGCAAAAGCTAAAACAAGGAAATAAAGAGAAATAATCCCACTACCATACTTCAAAACATGCAAAAGTTAAAATACTGAATTAAAATTACCCATTGAATCTCTTTTGGCCCTTTTCCGTAGTAATACATCCTCAGACAGAGCAAAGTTGTTGACTGGTAAGTGAGTAAGACTTGGGGTCAAGTCCTATATATTTAGCTGAGTTGCAAATCATACGGCTCATTAAGAGGGTAGCATGATTTAGCTGCTTAAATAATTATTGGATCTTGACTAATAAATGTATAATTACTGTGTTTTGTGTCTCCATTTACACCTTGCGACCAAAGACCAAGTTTAAAAAAATAAATATTTTTTTCTAATAAAAATGATGGCAAGGAATAGATAAGGAGAACAGAAGGGGTTGCGTTGAAATTCAGCACAGGAATGATTTATTCACATGGCTAATTTTCTTCGTATCATAGAATTTGGGAATTCTGAGAAGTGGGTTTTGACATCAAGACATGCTATTTACTTTAATTTTCTCTGGTAGCTAACCTG